CTAATATACTTTTATTTAAAAATTGGATTTTGTTCCGGGAACAAATCTATTTTGTTCCGGGAACAAATCTATTTTGTTCCGGGAACAAATTTATTTTGTTCCGGGAACAAATCTATTTTATTAAATAAAGAAATATAAATGTAATAAATGACGTATTAAAGAGTTCATCTGCAGAGTTTTGAATCAATATTAAAAAATCTCTTTTGTTTATTTTTTTTATTTGGGCGTAAATGAACAAATGAATTGATAGATTTAAAACTTAATGTGTTGGATTTTGTTCACATTATGTTGTCAAATGAAATATTGTTATGAAGTTCTAAAAAGCTAGGATTATTCGGATAATCTACATTCTTTTTAAAAAGGTAGACTTGTACATATGTTAAATACCGTGGACCAGAAAATGTAACCGGAAAATTATAAATTAACGCTCGATTCTCTTCATTTATCCCACTAAAATGATTTCCATTTTTTCGGCTTTCGTTGACAAAAAACGATGCAAAATATTGAGAAGACGTGATCGCACCTATAGTATGCGAAATATTTTTATTTTGAATCCACTCGTAAAGATTCTTCTCTGGATGAAATTGAACACCGTAGAATGGATAACTAATGTAAAGATCAAAAGAATTTGGTGTGTAATTACTCATTGTTGTATAAATTAATCTTACCGTTTGTGTTCAATGGCTGAAATGAAATCCAATCCATTTGTGTCTAGATTAGTTGATAATGTCTTCCATTTTTTGGCCAAACCATATTCAATCATATTCTATAAAAGATAATCAAATATGTGAAGTGTTTGACATTCTTTCCGATATGAATTATGAAAATTTATGCTCATTTACCTCTTGTGTGACGCAATACGAATGAAAATTCGATGTAGTTGCTTCCTTATTCAGTATATTAATTATATGCTCTGGAGCTGTTCCAAACATTCGACTCGCTCTGAACCCTGTGTATTTATTATTATTATTATTATTTCGTTGCCAAAAATGAATTATTTAAAAGATTGTTTGTAGTTCAATATCAATTTAATACGAGCCGTCGATTTTACTCTCACCTTCGGTAAAATTCAATGGTAATGATTGTCGTTGCGACGAACAACGGATCCGATATTCCTCATTTTTATTTGATGCGAATAATAAGAACTCAAAGCCTAGACATATTCCAAACAATGGAAAATATGTGCCATTGTCATTCATGCGTTTCGCAATATCGTATATGTGTACGCCAGCTTCGGCATAGCCATGGCTTTCATTTAAATATGTTGCACCACCGGGAAACAAAACGCTGTGAGTTCATGAAACGAAACAAAATAAAGAAAATGAACCAGGGTGAAACGAAAAAAAAATACATTGTCTTTTTACATCAATAAATAATTGTTCATACCCATTGAGCTTCTTCATCATTTTTTCATAGTACGATCGAGGTTTATCAATCCTGTAATTGGTAAAAAACATCTAAATCGATTGCTAGTCGTCTATTAAATATAATTAAATGGAAGTACCATATGGGCACTGCTCTCGCACCTCCACCTTCAACAAATTTAATATAAGATGCTGCTATATAGCTATCATAAGATGGCCATAACATGGCAGGTCGCCCCCTTATCTCTAACGTTATCACTCCAATTATTGGCCGATCCGTTTTATACATCAAATCAGATGATTCGACAATGTCAATGTAATTTGTAATGGCAATAAGCAACAGCACTGTACAGAAAATTGGTCTTGGCATTTTTGATTTCCAATGAAGTCAATATTCACTTGAACGTCACGCTGTGTATCCTTCTTTTTTTCCTTGTATTTTCTTTGAATCGTTTTCTTCCTGCTTCTGCTTTCGTATTCAAACCATAATATTTCAGATTGAGATTTATTTCAAACGCTTTAATGAATGCACCACTTTGATCAAGCTGTCATAATTTCAGTCTCCAATGAAAATTGATTCAATTATTTTGCACTATACGGACTCAATCAAGTATTGAAGTGTAATGAATAGATTGGCAACAAAAATATTAAAATTACATCTTTCTTTGTTAAACTAAAAATAGTTAAACTTGAAAAAAATGACTGATTTATCACAATGACGCAATATATTGTAGATACAAATGGTTTATTTTGTTTAACTTATCGAAAAAACACAGTTCACCTGGACATTGGTAAATAAGTTATGAGCACCTCAGTTCCTTTATATTGTGACTGAATAATAATTGTTAAAAACTAGACATAAATACACCGCGTTTGATGTCGTTATCTGGGGCCCTTAATTCGTGTAATTGGTTGAATAAGTGCTTACCTACTCTAATCGATGTACTTATGTCTTGGGCTCAATATTTTTTTTTTTAAACTTGGCAAAAAAGTGGGCAATAAATGTTACGAATATGTTATTTCCTGTTAATACCTGATAATTTTTGACATCGACTGATAAAGTGACTTTGTTTAATGTAATGAACTGAAATTATCAAAAAAAAAAAAATATGTACATGCAGACAATATATTTGGATTTTGTCATCT